CCCCGGTCAGAGCGCAGCATCAACACCGACCGCTTTGTCTACCGCTTAGCTGCCGCCAGCCACTGCACGAACTCCCGCAACGCATCTGACTTCTTGGCGACCGGCCTCACCCACACGTAGCGGGTCTTGCGGTCCTTTAGCCGCAAGAAGTACAGGCTGCCGTCCTTGGGAGCCACGTGGAACGGCCCGCACAGGTCGATGTGCACGACGGCCAGCATGTCGTCGGCGTCGGAGCCTTGGTCGGGGAAGGTGTGCCGCGCCAGCTTCCCGCCGACGCACGAAACACACGGTGAGTCAGCGCCAGGCGCCGACTTGAGGTCTAGCCCAGTGGCGACCTCGTGCTTCGCCGAGCTCCGTATGGTGTCCATGCTGACGTGCGCAAGCCTCGCGTGCATCCTGTCCGTTGTTGCCTTCGTCGCCGAGACGATCGCCCGCAGGGCCACCACCTCCGTGGAGGGCATTGTCGGCGTGGCCGGGCAGGGACGCAGGTCGGTGCAGAGTACAAGTCCGGTGTACGTTGCCCGGCCGAGCAACATACAGTCGCCGAGACGAGCAACATACAGTCTCCGTCCTCCTGCAGCTTCACGCCGTTCTCCTTCAGCTGGCAGGCTGAAAGCAAGTTGGCATGCACGCCCGGGACGTAGGGCACGTCGAGGATGAGCACCTGCTTCCCGGCTTCTTCTTGTAGAGCGACAGTGCCGCAGCCCTGAACGTCCTGAAGCGCCCCATTGAAGACGCGCACGTGCTTCACGTCGCCGCTCGGCCCCAAGTCAACGAACACCTCCTTCGTCCCCATCAGGTGGTGCGAGCATCCGCTGTCAAGCAGGTCCACCGCCAGGTTTGCCTACACAGCTGCTGCCACCGCCTGGAAGTCCTCACCGGCCTTCGCCGCCAGTGAGACGGTCGGCTCCACGACGTCGACCAGCAAGCACGACGCCGCCTTGTAGTCTCGCCCCTTGCCGCGAGGACTCGGCGTCCTTCGCCGAGGTCGACGTCGTCGACTACTTCTCCTTACGCGGCTTGTTTCCTCCTCGACGAGGACGACGACTGCCAGACCTCCCGCGGCCTCCCTTGGCGTTGTCGTCCTCGGAGTCACTGCGGTTGGGGCACTCGAAGGAGAGATGGTCGGAGTCGCCGTATAGCCAGCATTCCTGACGTCGACCTCCTCCTCCCGGACCGATGTCCTTGGTCGACTTCTTCTTGTCAACCTCCTTGGCCGGCTTCCAGCCACTGCTGCCACCGCCGCTAGACTGTCCGCACTGCCCCGGTCGGCATCCTTGCTTCGCTGGGGCGACGAAGTTCGCCTGCGCCAATAGCTCCTGTGACCGCTCAGCCTCCTGCATTGCCTCGTCCTGCAGGATGTACGAGGTCATGTTGTCCTCGTTGAACATCGACTTGTGCTCGGCACCATGGACAGCCACTTCAGCAGGTTGTAGCTGCTCGAGAGTCCCTGCATGACGTGGGTGACGTACGACGTCGTCGAGTACTGCACGCCGGCCATCCTGATGGTGGCGAGAATTCGCCGGGCCCGGTTGCAGTAGTCGGTCACCGTCTCCTCGTCGCCCATACGCAGGTGCGCCGGCTGTCCCTCCAACTGGGCGATGAACAAGTCGTCGGTGACTTGGTAGTTCGACTCAATGAAGTGCCATGCTCGGTGGCCGGCGTCGAGGTACTCTCGGCACCACTTCAAGGCGATCTGCACACCCGGCGAGCAGCACCGCGAGATGACTGTGAAGGTCAACAACTGCACAGCGCGAAACTCCACACGCAGGTCGGGGTGGTGCTCCCCCGGCGTCGCCACTGTCCCTCGGGCGAAGCGGATCAGCCCGACCATCTCCAGCTAGGGCTCGATAGCTTCCTTCCAGGTGAGGATGTCCTGCCGACCAACGAGCGGAGGGGTGACCAAGATCCTGTCCGGCGTGAACTTGAAGTAGCCGTATCTCGGTGCAATCCCGCCCGTCGTCACCTGGGTCGCCGACATCGGCGACACTCCACTACGACGCCCACCGGCGTCACCCTGCGAGGAGCCTGCAGCCGCTGACGACTGAAACCCTCGCGCCTGAACGCCGCCGACTTCATCGGCGTGAATCACACCTCTCTGCCTCGACGTGCCTCCCACACTGCTGCCGACCTGGCCTCCACCGGCGCTGACGCCCACGTCAACGCCGCCGGCGTTGTTCACCGGTTGAGGAGAGGCAGGCCAAAAAGGGGGGTGTGAGAAAACTAAAACGAGAATGAATGAACTATAAATGAAGTGGGTACAAGTACTAACCCTAATTGGGTTGTACCCCCTATGGGATACCCCACTACAGCCTCCACAAATGTATAAGCTATATAATGTTCCGACACACCCCAATAGGCAAAGTGGGGGAGAACAAGGGGTCACAAGACCAGTCAAGCAAAGCAAAGCAAAGCAAGCTTAGGGTGGATCTCAAGTCACCACACAGTCCGAGCACAAGGTCAAGGCCACAAGGCCAGTTCACATGCAAGAGTACACATATATATAAAGCTACACAAGCAAGAGCAGGTGTATATATATATGTAACAGTACAAGCCAGGTCAAGAGGTGAGCAAGTGAGGCAAGACAGGCACAAGACCCAGCTGAGTGCAGAAGCGCTGATGATCACAAGGCGCAAGTGCCTTGGTGAAAACATCAGCAGTGTTGGCCTCAGAGGCCACGTACGCAAGCCGCAACTGTCCACGCTGCTGTAGCTCACGAGCAAGGAAGTAGCGGAGAGCAATGTGCTTTGTTCTGTGCTCCAGTCTCTGCTCTCGACACAAGGCCAGCATGGCCTTGTTGTCTACGTACAGAACTGGAGGAGAACGAGGCGGCTCTCCGAGGTCAGTCAGCAGGTAGGTGAGCCAGCGAAGCTCCTGTGCAGCCATGGCCCCTGCGTAGATCTCGGCCTCACAACTAGAGTCGAGAACAGAAGACGAGCGAGTAGCCCGCCACGAAACAGAGCCGGAACCAAGGCTGAAGGTGTAACCCTGTGACGATTGCTGTGTAGCCTGGTCGTCAGCCCAAGAAGCGTCCGCATGCCCAGTGAGGACCACTGGACTGCGCCCTCCAAGCACTAGCCCCATGCCCGACGTACTGCACAAGTAGCGCAACACCCTCTTTGCTGCAGCCATGTGCTCTGGTCGGTGTCTCCCAGGAGCAACATAGCGTGCGAGAATGCTAAGAGGGTATGCAAGTTCAGGTCGTGTGCAGGTCATCAGGTACATGAGGCAGCCAACAAGCTCTGGATACGGGCCACTCGACTCTACGGACTCATCCGAAGGCAGAGCTGAGAGTGAGTGGCGAGTAGGCAGAGGAGTGGCCTGAGGCGAGGAGTACGTGAAGCCGAAGCGCTGAAGGACCTGCTGCACCATGTGTGACTGAGTCAGGGTAATGGTGTGGCGTGCTCTGTCCTGGGTGATCTGCAAGCCAAGGTAGTTGCGCAGTTCACCCAGGTCTGTGCACGTGTGTCTCTTCTGCAGCTCGGACATCACGTAGGCAAGTCCAGCAGTGTCAGCTGTGGCAAAGACCAAATCGTCGACATACACGAGGATGTAGAACGGCGGCAGAGAGGTGTCGGTGCGCAGAAACAGCGTCGGGTCGGCAGTAGAAGGAGCAAACCCAAGAGCCGCAAGCGTAGTCCTCAGTGTGTCGTGCCACTCGCGGGGCGCCTGGCGGAGACCGTAGACTGGGCGCCGGAGACTCCACCAAGTACCAGGAGGGAACGACCCAGTGAAGCCAGGCGGGCGACGCAGCCAGATCTCCTCGTGCAGGCTGCCCTGCAAGAAAGCTGTGCTGAAGTCAAGAGAGTGCAACTCGTAGTCACGGTGAGCAGCAACGTGTAGTAGTACCCGAAGAGTGGTCATCTTCGGGGTGGGAGAGAAGGTCTGAAAGTAGTCAACTCCTTGCCGCTGACTGACGCTACGAGCCACGTACCGTGCCTTGAAGACAGGCGGAGAACCCGGCGGCCGCTTCACCCTGAAGATCCACATGCCACTGACGATGTTCACCCCAGGCGGGGGAACCTCGTCAACGTAGGTGCCTGTGGACTTCCAGAAAGCCATCTCTGTGTCCATAGCTGCCTGCCACTGAGAAGAGTAGGGACCCTCTATCGCCTCCGCGTAAGAGCGCGGAATCGGGATGGCAAGTGCATCCGGGTCTCCCTCAGGGGTAAGCAGTACGGACACGAGATGAGGTGAAGCAGCTGCCAGACACTGGAACTCCTCCTGCTTGTCCTCAAGGACGTCCGTGCCAAGGGCACACTCACCCCTGAAGGACGGAGGACAGACAGACTCAGACTCAGCGACAAGACTAGCAGCGTAGTCTAGGCGACAGCGAGCGGCAAAGTCGACGAGCTCAACAACTAGGGCAGACACAGGAGTGGACTCAAAGGAAGGGTCAGTGACGACAGTAGCAAGGAGACACGTGATAGTAGGACTGGCAGCACGAAGAGAGTCTGACTCCGGGTCGACAAGAGCAGGAAGAGAGGACTCAAGAGGAGAAGGCAAAGGGGCACACAGAGGAGCAGTGGACGGACGCAGAGACATCCGGTGCGTGCCAGGGACAGGAGGAGGACGCTGACGCGAACCACAACCACTGGTGCGAGCAGCACGGACAGGCAACGCAGGGCGAGACGCAGGCTCACGACGCTCAGCAAGACCTCCAGTAGGACCAGTGTAGGGAGAAGGAGCAGGTAGGGGGGAGTCCGCGCGGCGACTCCAGACACAGCAGGGACAGCACCAGAAACCCCAGCAGAAGCACCAGCGTCAGCAGCACCTCCAGCTCTGGCAGCACCAATAGCACCCCCAGCAGGACCGCCAGAAGTGGCCTCAGCGCCAACACCCTCAGGAGCTCTAGCTCCAGTCGTACTCGCAGGCCCAGCAGCTACAGTACTCCCAGTACGAGCACCTCCGGGACCCGCGACACCAGCACCCTCAGTAGCCGAAGAACCTCGAGCTCCAGCAGCACGCCTCCAGCGCCGGGCAAACCACTCGCGCAGCTCCTATGGAGAGAGTGGCTCGCGCCAAGAACCTCCCGGCGTAGCACCTCCAAGCTCAGCACCTCCACGTGTAGCACCCCCAGGCACAGCACCCCCAGGCTCAGCACCCCCAGGCGTAGCACCCCCATGCTCAGCACCTCCAGGCTCAGCACCCCCTGTCTTAGCACCCCTAGTCTCAGCACCCCCAGGCTCAGCACCCCCAGGCTCAGCACCCTTAGGAGGAGTACCCACATGCTCAGCACCCTCAGGCTCAGCACCCTCAGCAGCACCAGAGTCACCTGTAACCTCAACAGGCTCGACTGCGTCTACATGGGACACACCTGAAGGGGCAGGGTCCTGAGGGGGGAGGTGGTCTACCGGGGGGGGACCTGGTACAAGGAAGAGTGGTGGTGGGGGGAGGGACGAAGTGCGGTCGGGGAAGAGGCGGTAATAGGGGACCGACTCGTCAAACGTGACGTCCTGAGAGGACAGAACACGGCGCGAGGTGGGGTGATAGAACTGCCACCCGGGCGCGTCAAGGGGGAACCCCAGGAAGACGCAGGGAGCAGCACGAGGGGACAGCTTGTCCGCAGACAAGTCGCGGACAAACGCCCGAGATCCCCAGACACGGAACGCAGACGCATCGCCAACCTTCCCCGTCCACAGCAAAGCTAGGGAGGTCTCCGGCCTGGAGACCCTGGGGTGGAGGTTGATCTGATGCGCCGCGTACCTCACTACAAACGGCCACAGAAAATGGGGGGCAGCCGCATGCATCATGGACGTACAAGCAACGTACATGACCATGCTAATGCGGCGCTCAGCAATCCCGTTTTGCTGCGGGAGTCCGGAAGCGTGAAGGTCTGACGGATGCCTCGTGCACGACAGTAGGCTCGGAGAAGGCCAGAGGAGAACTCTCCGCCTCTGTCAGAGTGCAGACGCAGAACAGGAAATTCCGAGCCGAAGCTCTGCCTGAGCTGGAGACGAGCTGCGCGGATCCAGTCGATCAACACCTCAGTAACATCACCCTTGCTACACAAGGGGAAGATTGTGGTGTAACGCGAGTAGTCGTCAACCACTAGCAGGAAGTAGCGCTCGTGACCCTGTCCACGGACGCAGGCTGGGCCCCACACGTCCATGTGAAGCATCTGCAGCGGGGCCTCTGTCGGAGGGAACTGGGAGGAGTGAGGGGCAGCGCGCTGCCGCCCCTCGACATAGGGGACACAGGTAGGGCCAGGCCCCTGAGGAAGGGGAGGGAGGGACCGGGGAAGACCAAAAACAAGGAAACGGGAGGCCATGCCTCTGAGACGAAGTAAAGAGGGGTGACCAAGGCGGTGGTGCCAGAGGAGAGTCTCGTGAGATAGGAGACGACACGAACAGTGGGCAGACTCAGTACCAGACCTGGACGCTGCAGCAAACACCTGACCCGACGCAGCTACCCGACCAGACTCAGTGACTGGAGGAGACGCAGTGGTCAGTGTGTACAGGCTCGACCCTGGGTGACGTGTAAACGTAGGCCTGTCCGAGCCTCAGTGCAGTGTGTCACCCGCTGACTCACAGGAGTGAACAGGTGCACTCCCCCATCCTGTAGGTCAGCACCACTCACCAAGTTCGACGAGAACGAGGGGAGGTAAAGACCAGACAGGGTGCCAGAGGGAGCCGCCGGACACGGGAGGACTGTGGAGAAGTGGGCTAGGACAGGACCCCCAGAGGGGTCAGCCAGAGACACCGCAACCGGCCGACCAAGCGGCGTGAGTGTGGTGCGGTCTCTAAAGAAGGAGCGAGAAGCCCCAGGGTCAAGGGTGAAGGTGAGGGAGGCCGAAGCCGACGCAGTACCTGAGAGCGCAGACTCACCAGTACCTGAGGACGCAGACGCACTAGCACCTAGAGAAGCAGCCTCGCAAGCACCTAGAGCAGCAGCCTCACCAGTACCTAGAGCAGCAGTCTCAATGCCCGGATCAGGCGGGAAACACCGGTAACAGTCACCCTCATCACTAATAGACACAGCATATATGGCAGAAAGAATAGCATCAAAGTCAAGGTCAAAGATAGGAACCCCCGCCCTAGACAACTCGCCCCAGCGAGGGATCTCTGTGGCCTCAGGGAACTGGTGACGCCACGCGTCCGTCAGGCGGCCAAAGCAGCGCTGGGTGGGGTGCGCACCCCCACACTACTCACTCGCACGGTCGCCAGTGCGCAGGACGTAGGTGCACAGACCAAAACCCCCACCCCGCTGGCATGCAGTGTACCACTCACGGAGCTGCTGAGGGGACAGGGTCTCACGACCACGCTGCTGCTGGTGGCGCGGAACACCACCGGAGCCACTACTCTGTGTAGAACCACGACTAGCTCCACCGCCACCTCCGCCACCTCCGCCGCCTCCGCCACCGCCGCCGCCTCCGCCACCACTGCCGCCTCCGCTCCCTCCGCCACCACCGCCTCCGCCTCCGCCTCCACTGCTGCCACCGGCACCCCCACCCCCTCCACCACTCCCACCACCACCCCCACTCCCTCCGCTGCCTCCACCGCCGCCTCCACCGACCCCGCTAGCTCCTCCAGCGCCCCTGCCCCTCTTGCCCTTGCCTGTGCGGCGCTTCCCCGAAGGGGCAGACGCAGCGCCGACCGACTCAAAACCAACGAGGTCGGCCGCAGCAGCGGAAGCAACAGAGGGCAAGAGGGGGGAGGGAGAACACCCCTCAAAGACAGGGGTGCGGGGGTCACCACGAGAGGCTCCTACAGCGACTATGCTCTTCTCCGCTGCTAGGAGGGACTTCTCGAGGAGGTCAACGGTGAGAGTGGTGGGGCACACTGAGAGGAAGTGGTCCCTGACTACGCGAAGGGAGTCAGGGTGCCGGGTGACTATGTAGTAGAGGGTGATATACATGGGGGGGGGTTCTTGGTGATATACATGAAGCGCAGCGCGGTAGCGAGTGTCACTAGTGCGGAGGTGCGTAATGAGGTCAGCGACTGTGGGAAAGGCAGCAAGGTCAGGGAAGAGGTACGGTAGCATGAGGCGGCTCAGTGCAGCTGTGGCAGGGGAGGAGTAGCGTGCAACTATAGCATCGTACAAGGTCTGAGCACTCTTGTACTGACTCAAGTGTGCACGCTCAGAGGTAGGGAGGTGGCGACGCACAGCAAGACGTGTAGCAGCATCGCGCGTGGCCCACTGGGAGCGAACAGTGGCGTCAGCATCAGCAGCATGGGGCAGGAGAGGCGCCAGAGGTGAGGTCAAAGAGAGAGACCGTCTGCCCTATCGCACTGTAAGAAAAGCTGTAGGTCATCTACCCAGACGTCAAAGTCAATGGCCCGACCCTCAGCGTCCAAATCGAGGACACTAGGGGTAGCCATGACAGCAGTAGACTAATAGTGCAAACAGTAGGGTAAGGGCAGTGCAGTGACAAAGGCGCTGCGCTTACCGGATAGGGCTGCTCGGGCGTCTCGGCGGTGCGGGCGGCTCGGCTGTAGGGCGGCTCGGCGGCTCAGCGGCTCGGCTGCACGGCGGCTTGGCTGCTGGGCGGCTGGGCGGCTCGGCTGCAGGGCGGCTCGGCTGCTCGGCTGCACGGCGGCTCGGCTGCTCGGCGGCTCGGCGGCTCGGCGGCTCGGCTGCACGGTGGCTCGGCTGCTGGGCGGCTGGGCGGCTCGGCCGCAGGGCGGCTCGGCGGCTCGGCTGCCCGGCTGCTCGGCTGCTCGGCGACTCGGGCGGCTCGGGTGGCGGGCGGCGCTGCAACAGGCGACGGGGCCGCAGGTAAGGGCGGTGGGGCCGCAAGTGAGGGCGGCGGGGCCGCAGATAAGGGCGGCGGGGCCGCAAGTGAGGGCGGCGGGGCAGCAGAGAAGGGCGGCGAGGCCGCAGGTAAGGGCGACGGGGCCGCAGTTGAGGGCGGCGGGGCCGCAGGTAAGGGCGATGGGGCCGCAGTTGAGGGCGGCGGGGCCGCAGGTAAGGGCGACGGGGCCGCAGTTGAGGGCGGCGGGGCCGCAGGTAAGGGCTGGGCCGCAGGGTAGGGCGACGGGGCCGCAGTTGAGGGCAGCGGGGCCGAAGGTAAGGGTGGGGCCGCCGGTAGGTGGGGGGGCCACAGGGTAGGGCGACGGGGCTGCAGTTGAGGGCGGCTGGGTCGCAGGTAAGGGCGGGGCCGCCGGTAGGTGGTGGGGCCGCAGGGAATGGCGGGGCCGCAGGCAGGCGACGGGGCCGCAAGGTAAGGGCGGGGCCGCAGGTAAGGGCGGCGGGACCGCAGGGTAGGCGCCGAGGCCATAGGGTAGGCAGCGAGGCCGCAGGGCGGCGGGTCGGGGCAAGAAAGGGCGGCGTGCGGGCCAGAAAGGGCGGCGCGCGGGCCAGGAAGGGCGGCGCGCGGGCCAGGAAGGGCGACGCGTGGGCCAGGAAGGGCGGCGCGCGGGCCGCAGGGTGGGCGACGAGGCCGCAAGGCGGCGTGAGGGCCGCGAGGTAGGCACCGGGGCCGCTAGGGCGGCGCGACTGGGTCGAGGAAGGGGAGCGCGACTCGGGCTAGGGCTGAGCGCGCTCCGGGCAGGAAAAACAATTTCGACTTGGTGGGCCCTAGAAATAGTTCCCACGAGGGAACCTGCTCGATACCATGAGAAAACTGAAACGAGAATGAATGAACTATGAATGAAGTGGGTACAAGTACTAACCATAATTGGGTTGTACCCCCTATGGGATACCCCACTACAGCCTACACAAATGTATAAGCTATATAATGTTCCGACAGGGTGCTCCGCCGCCCACATGGAGCGGAGTCCTGCCTCGACGACTGCCCAGGGTATCGCCGTGTACTCCTGGGCCTCATGGCATCTCCTCGCATCCTCTAGCCGTCCCTCCAGGGTGTCCATCACCTCGGCGTCGCCTACGCGCACGCTAGTGACTGCACGGCTGCCGGTCTACGAACACGATCGGTATGTGCAAAGTCGGCTAGACTGAACTACGTCACGGTGTCGTCCACGCTCACCGCACCATGCGGAGATAACTACTACAACGGGAGCTAGACTACGGGCTAGGCACGGGTGCTCGTGTGATCTGTGCGTTCATTGGTCCTTAGTCGTTTTCCTAGTGCACACACTGCTTGCACATTCACGGGGAGACTTTGCAAGAGTTTCACTAGAGAAGGTTGACAACAATGGGTGGCATCAACATTGGCATCACAGACTACATCACAGCTAGCTAAGCTGCTGGTCGACCTCCAGCGCAGCATGGTCGACCGCGCTCCAGCGCAGCAGCGCTCGCACCGCTCCAGCGTTGCAGAGTAGCGGTTCGCCAACGTTGCAAGTCCACGGTGTGCCAACGCTGCAGCAAGTCGGCTGCACAGCGTTGCACCCGCAGGACAGCGGTGCACCTGCTTCGCAGATGCGTGCAGCTGGTTGGTGCGCCACTCCTCATCACGTGCACAGCGCAGACGCCTGGCAGACTCCTGCTCGGCGCCCTTGCAGTGGCTCCCGTGCCCACTGCTGCAGGTCGGCTGCAACCCCCGCACATCCGACCACGAGGTCGGCTCCGCCCAAGCGAGGACGGGGCTAAACAAAACTCCCGTTGACAGACCTGCTGCCTCGGGCAGAAGAAAACTAAAACCCTATCGGATGGCATGCCATCCGAGGGAGGCATCAACCCTAAATCCATGCCTCCCTGTGTTTAGGGTTGATGCCTCCCTGACCGGATGCATGCCCGAATGAGTTTTATTTTTTTTTGCCCGCGGGCAGCAAGCTCCGCCGGGCGACGACCTGAACGCGCTGAGATATATTCGGCGGAAGTGCTCTGCGTTTTTTTTTGTTTTCCATCCCAGGCGGGTCTCGATGTGAACGGCGAATATTTGCAACTTTTATACAAATCTGATTGGTGGCGACTTTCACCCACATCGGCGTGCGAATTTGGCGTAAGGTTGAATGTGAGTGAATGTTTGTATTCACTGGAGTCGTGCTCGTAACTTCACCAAAATTCACATATGCATAATCCAGCGCACACACATCCACAATCCAGCGCTCACAGGCAAAATCCAGCACACACACAGGCCAAATCAGGCAAGATCCTGCGCACATCAAAATCAGACAGGACCCAGTGCACATACAGGCAAAATCGCGCGGGAAAAAAAGAATGAAATTAAAATATATATATATATTAAGGAGAACGATTGCAATGGGAGGAGAGGAAAGGCGTGGGGACGGTTGATTGGTCGACAGCGAGAACAAAGAGAAGGGAGTGGGGACAAGGGGGGCGACGGGACGGCAGGGGAGAGAGGAGGAGCGACGGGATGCGGGGAGCGGGGTCAACAAGGGCGACGGGAGGGGAGGGTGTACATGA